CTATCTATCTATCTATCTATCTATCTATCTATCTATCTATCTATCTATCTATCTATCTATCTATCTATCTATCTATCTATCTATCTATCTATCTATCTATCTATCTATCTATCTATCTATCTATCTATCTATCTATCTATCTATCTATCTATCTATCTATCTATCTATCTATCTATCTATCTATCTATCTATCTATCTATCTATCTATCTATCTATCTATCTATCTATCTATCTATCTATCTATCTATCTATCTATCTATCTATCTATCTATCTATCTATCTATCTATCTATCTATCTATCTATCTATCTATCTATCTATCTATCTATCTATCTATCTATCTATCTATCTATCTATCTATCTATCTAGCTATCTATCTAGCTATCTACTATCTATCTATCTATCTATCTATCTATCTATCTATCTATCTATCTATCTATCTATCTATCTATTATCTATCTATCTATCTATCTATCTATCTATCTATCTATCTATCTATCTATCTATCTATCTATCTATCTATCTATCTATCTATCTATCTATCTATCTATTATCTATCTATCTATCTATCTATCTATCCATCTATCTATCTATCTATCTATCTATCTATCTACCTATCTATCTATCTATCTATCTATCTATCTATCTATCTATCTTTTTTTTTTTTTTTTTTTTTTTTTTGTATAGTGGAGGAGGAAACCTTACATAGGTCCCATAAAGGGTATGTCGGATTCCTACCGACTAAAACCACCTCCATCGTCAACACCACACTCCGCGGAACTGCCACCAGGTACTACTTCGCGGGGTGGTCAGCTTTGACGCTGAACTTCCTTAACTCTCAGAGTTCGTCTCCTAGGCCACGTTCTGGGCCTTGCGAATAATCTCTGCATCTCGCAGAGCTATATTTATTGAAGTTATGTACATGTTCACAAATGACCAGTTATGTTCTGATTTTAGAATTGCTTCTATTATATTGTCTGTCCTTATTTGTTCGCCAATGCACGATTCCAACCTGCTTCGTAGTCCAGAGAATTGTGGGCAATTAAAAACGACATGTTCTACTGTTTCATCTAGATCTGGGCATTTCGGGCATCTTGGTGAGTTGTCATGGCCAAACCGGTATAAATAGCTCCTATAGATACCATGTCCTGTAAGGAATTGCGTCAAATGGTAGTTCAGCTCACCATGGCGTCTATTTATCCATATATTGATGTCTGGGATTAGCTGGAAGGTCCATCGGCCCTTACTTGTACTTTCCCATCTCCTCTGCCATTCCCTCATAGTTTTCTCCCTTTCTATCCGGCTTATTTCCACCTTTGGGATATGTGGGTTTCTAGATTTCTCTTCGTAGACAGCCGATAGTTCTTTGGCTGCTAAGTCCACAGGTATTATGCCCGCTACTACATTTGCTGCTTCTGCAGAAATTGTCCTGTAACCACTACATACTCTTAGGCAGCTTCTTCTATGTATTGCAGAAATGTTTTTTCTAGATGCTTCAGATATTGCGCATTCCCAAATTGGTGCTCCATAAAGAATAACTGAGTTCGTTACCCTTGAAATTAAAATTCTTCTACTCTGTCGTGGGCCACCGATGTTTGCTGAATAAACTTCATTTGTGTCTGGAACTTAACGCCTTTCTAAATATAGGACATCTATAGCTACCAGCATTGTGCTTTAGATCCGTATTCCCTCCAGCTTTACACAGCATGCAGTTTGGCTCGGCCTGACAATCCCTCACTAAATGCCCATCAAGTCCACACCTTAGACACCGATTCGATCTATCTACGTCAGATTTACAGAATCTTGAAATATGGCCAAATTCTAGACACCTAAAACACTTAGTGAGTGTAATGGTTTCTCTTATGCGACACATAGACCAACCAATTTTGATCTTTTTTAGCTTGAGTGCTTTCATTGCAGCTTCTGTTGGGAGGCTAATTTTAGCTGATTGAGTTCCTCCATAGGTCTTTCGGAGGGACTTAACAATATTTTCTCTTAGATCTGGTATACCTAGCGCTTTGGAAAAGGATTGACATATTTCTAACTTTGTAGTGATATCATCCATATCTTTACATTCAATAACAATCTCATCTATTCGTGTTTTTACATCCACTGATCCATCCAAAGATGTTTTAATTTTTTCATTAAATCTTTCTGCTAGGTTTTCGCTTCCAGACTTAAGTTCTAAAAGAAGGTCGCCTTTCTGGGTTCTTCGAATTTTGTTTACCTCATCACCTAGTTCTTTTAGTTCAAGGTCTGCCCTAATTTTCTTTAAAATATCAGCGTAAGAGATATCGTTTTTGGCAGATATTATCATAGTATCTGGCCGAGGCTTGCGGGATCTCGTATTGTTTTTCTTCTTAACTATAGCCCATCCGGCTTCTAGGTTATCCGACTCTGGCTTTCTACTAGGGAGTTCTTCTAGTGGAGTTAGTGTTGTCCTATTTTGTGGAAGGCTTTGCTTCAGTCTTTTCGGCGTCGGCATTTTTGGAGCTGTTTTG